GCGGTCAGGGCTAATTATTAAACTGCACAATTCCTGGTTCCCCTGCCCATACAAGGTTCATTTCAATCCTAATACCTGTCTACCTGTTGGCTAGGCTAGAAGGAAATTCAATACTTGGTCTGTTTATTGGATCAAATATAGTACTTCAATTAATTATATTTCCTTTATTATAATCTAGATGAGCCAAGAACTACTCTAATAGGTTTAGGTTGCAGATAAATTAGTCTGAGCTTTTATTTTTGCTATATAGTTTTATTTTATTTATATTTTTACGAATTGTAGTAATATTCACATTAGTTGATTATTCAACTAGTGATTACTATTACTCAATAAAATTATTAATAAAGATATGAGCAAGGCCTCAAAAAAAAAGTTTGTTTATATATATTTTTAAGTCTTGGAGTATTATATTATATTTATACTATTTTTTTTATTTAAAAAAAGTATAGGCCAGTTGCTATTGCTGTTTATAAATTGTAAAATAATTATTATATAGTATAGTGTTGAACAAAAGTTTTATTAAACTACATCAACTTATAGCAAGATGTTATAGTCTTGAAACTTTTTAAAAACTTAGTAAATAATTAGCTTAAATAGTGTATTTTTTTTGATAATTTTTCAATTACTAGAAAAAATTTTAAATGAGAACTAAAGTTTTAAATTATTTTTTATACTATAAAAAATTAAAAAATTAATTGGGTTCAATTAAAAATTAATAAAAACCCAAAATTATATTTAAAAATTCTAATTATTTGGTATATTAAAGTTTAATAATTTTTATACTAATAACAAAAATTTTGATTCAATTTAATAAGATAGTTATTGAGAAATTAATTTTTAAAGTTTAAATTTTATTGTCATTTTATTCTGTTTAATTGATGATCTGTTACTTAATAGAAGATTTTTTATATTTGGATATAATGCAGATCATATTAAGCAAAACATGAATTAAAATTTTTAGGTTATAAATAAAGTTATAAAATTTTTAATCAAATATAGCAATAAAGTAATATAAACGATAAAGCAATACCAAAAGCTTTTAATTATAAAATTATTAAGTATTAGTATTTTTTTTTGACAAACTTTACCTTGGATGAATATGGTATTTTTTATATTAGACTTTATATTAATTTCATTATATTAATTACATTATAACAAATTATAGTATCTAATAATTATATGTTAATTCATTTTTTTCTTTAATTTCATTTATTTAACTCCTACAATAATAAACAGTTTGCTTTGATGCAATAATTTTTCAAATCTAATTTTACTTCATTTATAGATTATATAAATAGGACGAATTTATCTATCACCCAAGGTGATATTTGATATTTCTCACCCCTATAATTTTTAATATTAAAATTTTGATTTTTACACTTTAATTATAAAATTTAACAAATTAAATAAATCTTTACCAGGTGTGGCGACTTAGTGAAGTTGGTAAGTTGTCACCTCTCTAAATGGCAGGTCTAGAGTTCAAATCCTACTGATGACGATTTTGAAAAATAAGATTTGTTTCAGTAACATTTATTCGACGATCGGTTGAGTGTACTACCTGTAACCTTGGTACTACCATCTTGAATGGGAGCTTTCGGATGAAGTTGTGTGACATCATACAGACAAAGCCAAGGAACTAAAATAATTGAAACCCATTTAGAAAGACTCGAGCAAGGAAGTAGTGAAGATCTTTGATGATATTGCAGAAGCCATAAGCTCAAAAACCAGAGACTGAAGAACCAAACAAATAACCCTGGGGCAAGAAGGGTTCACCAACCTGGTCGCCGGAGTCGTATCGGAGAAAAAGGTCCTATGCTGCAGAATTAGAAACCAAAAGAAGGGAATCATCAGACACTTAAAGTCTAGATATACCAACCTATCCGGGCTAACTGGTTTGGAAGTTTGGAAGGGATCGGTATAAGGACCAGAAGAAAGGTAGATATAGGTATTAGGATTGAAATGAACCTTGTATGGGCAGGGGAACCAGGAATTGTGCAGTTTAATAATTAGCCCTGACCGCTAGTGTTGGTCTTAGCCATAGCAGACAGGTTCTCTAAACCTAATTTGGAAATGTATGGGACATAGAAGAATTAGAGAGGCAGCCACTATGTCCACTTGTAGAGATCTTGGAGAAACCAGTGGGGTAACCAAACTCAGATAAGTGAGTGGGGCACTTCGGTATAAAGGTACCTGGCTTAGAATAATTGGTGGGTATATACGATCAGAGGGTTTAAATAGATAATCCCCTAGTTGGATTATAGGCATGGCATCTAGTATAGAACCTTTGGGTGGACTACTTAAATAGACAACCAAAAGTTGTACGTGTGGCTAGTTGTACTCTCATTGTAATACTAAATGTAAGACCCACATGGTCAACAGTTAAACATCAATAAAGCTCGGTCCCAAAGGAAACCTTAAAAAAAAATAAAACTTTATTAAATCAGACTTGTAAAGTAATATTTAGTTTTGAAGATAATATTGTTCATTTCGAGGGTGTGTATTTATATATACAGATCCGAAGAAGAAAAAAGCGAAAATACTCAAAAACTAGTGTTTAAATCGATCTTGGAGCACTAATTAAAAATGTCATGAATGAAATTTACATATAATGAGTTCTAACTTTAAGGCCCTAACCCTAAATTTTCATTTCACACACTTAGTTTATTTACAAAATCAGATTTTCTCTTTTGGGTTGTATTACTCATGAAAATAAGTAAAGCCTTATTGGGACGTATATAATACATAATATATATTGTGTTATAGATAGTCTTATTAATATATTAATGTACTGCATAGAATATAAATATAAGTAAAAAAAAATAATTAAAAGAGTAAGTTCTTTCAATTTTATTGGAAAATTATGATACATACCTTTCTTCAAATTAAATAATTTTTAATATTCAAAATTAATTCAGTATATTTTGACAAATCAATTTTCATTCACAGGTTGTGAATCGATTCTAAATACTTATTACCTTATCTATTTAATATTAAAATGCAGATTTCTAGAGTATAGCGATCGAAAATAGCTCATAAATACAAAGTTTTAGATAAATTAATGATCGTGACTAAATTGAGTAAAAGTAACGATTAGAATATAGCAATCAAACCAAAAAATACTTATCTTTTAATTATTTTTTCATAGTTTTGATCTTGTTATTAATATATAATTGGTAAAATATTAAGAAAATATGGCAGTAAAAAAAATACAAACTTAAGAAAAAATACATACCCAATAATATATATCAAGAAACTTATACATGAATTAAAGAATTAAAATATCATAATACCACTCCAATATTTGACCCATTAAAAACTTAAAAATAATTCTCAAATGTTCATAATATATAAAAGCAATATATATTAATTTTATACTTATCTCAATGTGTTATACAAGAAACATGCAGAAAATTGCTACAAATTTAAACTAAACTATCTATCATTGACCTTATTGTTTTTATATATACTTCTTATTCACTCACCCTTATGCAGCAGAACATATATTATGATAATGTCCACCTTCATCACATAATCTATATTTACGACCCCATCATTATTGGATATGTTTAACACATTCGATTTTGATTTACTGTTACTTTTAGGTTGTTTAATAGACGATTTTAACTGTTTTGATGATGGCCTTCCCTTTGGTTATGCTTTACTAGATCTAAAACTTGCATTGAATCGAGTAAAATCTTATTTGTATTACAGATAATCTAATTGCCATTTGTAGTAATTTTCCAAATATTCAATAATTCTTGCTGTCTGATTAATTTGGCTTGAATCTGTTGATCCTCTTTTTATTTATTAAATTCTTTCAAAAATTGCATTAAATCATCACACCCATCCTGTATTGCATATTGGATTGCCTTTTTAGCTTCATCTATTAGAGCACCATATTTCAATCAGCTTTTTGATATTTGTTTATAGCACTTTTCTAAAAGATCAGCTATAGTATATTTGCAAGTAAATTCTGAAATAATTGGTGTATTACTATGATTAGAGTCACTTACTGCCATTTCATTAGAGTAGTTCTCACCCAAATCAAAATATTCATCCTTGTACCAATGGTTAGAAATTAATTTTAAATAAAAATACGCTTTAGTAAATACTGTAAAAATTTTTAAAAAATGTCAACATATAACTCTATGTGTGATAAGCATAAAGCACGTGCACAAATATTCACCATTGTTGAGCAAAATTACATATTGATAGCATTTTGGATGATTATAGTGAGAAACTTTTCAAATTTCTAAAATCTCATTGTGGTTAACTATTGAAATTAAAGATTGTAAATTAAGTTCTTGATCTTCATCTGCTTCAAGTGGAATATCTAAATTATCATCTGGTTCTTTTTCAAAAAATGGTTTAAACAAATCATCATCAGATAATAAAATTTCTGATATAGATACTTAACATGCAAGATAACATATGGATTGACACATTTGCTTATAATGTACATCATGAATTGGTTGAGTAAAGAATTTTTTCATTATATGATCAATACTGGTAAAAAATGTTTGTATAATAAATGGTTGAATATACTGTAATGTTGATGATTTCCAAATTGAATAGCAATTATTAATCGACTCAAATTCAAATCGATTTTTTAGAGCTTCTTGAACTTCCAAAAAAGAAGAGCTTGACTGTATAGCCTTTTTAATTAATCCATTCTCTGATTTGACACATTGTGTTGATTGTGTTTCTGCTATAAAGCAGTGAGATGTGAAGCATTTTACCCATGTATATTTTCGATCTAATAACATTGTTATATATTTTTCGCCTGCTTTGTATTTTTCAATTAGACCTTGAATTCTCCATTCAAATACTTCTTCACAGTGAGAACACTGAATATTTTTAAAATCCTTAAAGAAATCATGGTAAAATGATCCTAAACATGAACGAAGGTTCTTTGAAATATTTTGATAAAGGTGATATAAGCATTGCATATAGCGAGTTTTGAGAAATATGATAGAAATTGCCACAACCATTGCAGGGTCTGTGTCTGTAACAAACTAACAAACGTTAATGAAGGAATCTTACATGCTTCTAAACAATATTGAAGCAACCATTCATATGATTCTTGTCTTTCATCCTGTATAAATGCTTGTGCTGCTAACCTATTTCTGTTATGATTGTCAATTAAGATAAAAAAACTTAATGGGTAGTTATATTTATTGGTTCGGGCGGTATTGTCATAAATAATTATGTTATAAACTTAGACCATCTTTCGCATTGTTTGAGAGACATCCAAAAAATACCAATTAGATGATTATCATCTATTAATGGTTTTACAAACCATTGTGTATTATTAGCTTGAAACTCTAAAAGTTTGGTCAATAAAGATGATACATCACTTAAGTTTATCTCTTTTTCCCGCTTGATTTTTTAAATAGTATTTCCAAGATTTTGAGTAAGAAAGATATGATCCAAATACTTCGACTGAAGAAGATTCCTAATTGTTGTTATATCACACCAATTATATATAACATAATACTCGATTTGTTTTATAATTTCTTGAGAAAACCTTTTGTAAGCAGCAGCGAACTTCATAGTTTTAACATTAATTTGATGATTATGTTCATTATTAAACAATGTTACAGTTGCTATTAAAGAGTTTGATGATCGTGTTATATTTACTTGCTACGTGCATCCTTGCTTTTTACTTCTTTTGTTTTTTTGCTTTCCTAGTGTTGGTCTTGAAAGCCACTTATTATATCTTCCACCCCTATTACATTTAAAAACTCTTTTTCTGCAATTGCCATCTGAGAATGTTTCATATTTGTGTTTAAAAATGGAAAAATGGTTCTGTAAAGCATATTGCTTTATATAATGAACTGCAACTGACATGGAAACAAACCGAGTACCCACCTCAATCTCAATTGGAGTGGTGATTAAGAGCAAATCACCATCATAGATTTCAAATTCTAAACCTAAAACATTTCGAATAAATGATGCACTATTGGTGCTAACTAACTCTTCATCATTATCTGCAAGTGTGTTTTCTGAAGCACTATTCAAAGGAGATTCAACCAAATTATTGTCTTTAGATGCAGTTTCGGAAGACGTAATCTCAGAAAAAGACTAACAAATTCCTAAATATAATGATAAATAGGATCACCTAATAATATAGTTGAAGAATGGCAACAATGAAATCAGACTTGCTGGAAAAAAAAATTAAAGGTTAATACATTAGAATATCAATTTTAAAAGCACATAAAATTAAAAAAAAAACTTATGAAATGGTTTTTGTAAAATCTTTGGAATTCAAAAATATGATGTGATCTTTGTATTAGTTGAATATTAATGACTATAGAATTAAATTTGATTAAAAAAATTTAGAAAAATAAAATACTGAAATAGCGATTTAAGAACATGTAAAATTGAAAGAAAGAACTTACAAAGTAATTCAGGTGATTGAATCTTTAGAACACAAAAGATTGAATCTCTAGAGCCAAAAGTATGTATCTCTGATAAACAACGATGATATAACTGACTTGCTTTATTCGTACAGTACCGGTATATGGTTGAAGATCAATGAAGATAGAATCAAGCCTATTTAAAAAAAAAAAATTTTTTTTGAAATATCTAGATACCGAAATAGCAATTCAAGAATAAATAGGATTGAAAACAAAGAACCTACAAGATAATTCAGGTGGTTAAAGCCTAGAGTACAACTGACAAATGTTGACGATAGAACTGGGCTTTAAAAAAGAAAAAATGAATATCGAGATGATAAAATATTAATTTTAAGAATATAGAATTGAAAAAAGAATTTACAAGTTGATTCTGGTGGTATAGTCTTTGTGCTCAAGAGTATGAAAAATAAACAACAATAGAATCGAACCTGTTTTATAAAAAAATTGTTAAACAGACAAACACGAAAAAATTAAAATAAACTATGTAACAAATAAGGCAAGGTAAAAATTCTTAAAACTGTTACACACTTCTTTTTTTTGTTCTTAATTTCATCTCTTTAATTACTATCTAACTTTTCTACAGACAATTGTCAATACTCCTTTACTAGATTATATACATATGTACGTACGTTCTACTATTTTCATGCGATCGATCAAAACAAATAAAGCAACAAATTTTTTTCTATTTTAGTTACATTGTATACATTATCATTATCCTACACACGCATATATACAATACTACACGATTATTTGTCAGCATGTTTATTTCATTTGGATGATCTCTATTATCGCGTTGGAGATAAATTTTGCGTCGCAGATAAGTTTCTTTGTTTTTCACTTTACTCTTATTATTTTTCTAGTTCAAAAGACTAACCTTTCGCTTTTGATTTCCATTTATATTATTTTGGTTATTGTATGATTTGTACTATATACTATCTTTTACTCTCATATACTAACAATATATATTACACGATACACATGATTGTGCAACCGTACAACTGAATCATATGATATATTTAATATTTTTTATAGGGGGTGAGTAAATCACCTAGGTGTTAAATAAATTTTGCCTTAATTAAATTTGTTAATACTATAAAACTATTTGTTATTTGTATAAAACAAATACTGTATTTTTATGTAATAATGCTCATGCGCATTAATTAAAAAATCATGCTCCTTAAAATAATATACATAGTTTTAAAATAACACCTATACATATTCCTAAATAATGCACACCCCCTATATAAAATTATTATTTGCTTTCTTGCTATAAAAATTACTATTCTTTGATTTAAATCGCAAATAAATTAGTCTAAGTTTCTTTTCTTGCTATCTTAGAATATGAAGTTTAAATTTATTCATTTTTTTGTATAAGAGTTATATTCTCTTTTCTTTGTAAAAGAGCTGTATATTCTTTACTTTGTAAGAGAGTTAAATTAAATTTAATAAAGACAGAGACATAGTTTCACCATTAATATTTAAAAAAAAATAAAAATTATTATTCTTTTAGAGAATTTGATTCACTAATAATTACAACTAATTGATGATCAATTTTATAAGCTGATTAAATAATAATCAACAAGCTTATTGAATATTTCTAGACTACCGAACCTATTTAGAATTTATTATAATCAGTTGACTTATTTTGAATACAAGATACAATAATTATCATTATGTATATACTATATTATATGCAGTATATATGTTAGATCATACTATAAATTTTTTATTTTTTTTAGCTTTTTAATTAGTCTCTTACCTAGATTTATGAAATATTTTGTACTTTTTTTAGTTTTTACTTGATTTTTTACAAAATATATAAATTATTTAAATAAGAATATTTCTTTGTCAATAATTGGTATTTCGCTGCTCATCATATCGAATTATTAGTTTAGATAGAATGCAATTTTAATAGTTATTGTACTCTTAAATCTTTCATTAAATTCAATTTATTTATATCAATTTAGTGATCTATATATTTTCTAAATTATATTATATTCTTTATAAATTAATTGATAAAATCATAATGTAAAACTTTCTATTTTGTAATAAATAAAGAATTTTTTGTATAAATCAGAAATAAAAACCTAAAAAAGAAAAGAGGTAATTATAAACTTGCTAGCTAGATAAATTTACATGATGAATTTGCATTTAACTGATTACTTTTCCCTTCAATGATTACTTTTTTATACTAATTTTTAGTATCAATATGTGATATATCCCGTCAAGTAATTATCTAAGTATATAATAATGGTAAATGAAAAAAATATTGATTTCTATTTTTTTTCAATAAAGTTAATGCTATTTTCAAGTACTGCTATTATGCAAGTAATATTAACTCTAGTAAAAGCAACTTGCTACTGTATAATTATTTATATATAATGCATATTGACATTATTTAAAAAATTAGATTTATCAAAAAATCATAACTTGTTTCAAAATAATATCTATATGTGTACTCTAATTAACATGCATATATTTAAAATAACGTGCAGGTGAGCATTATTATACAAAATACAGTAGTTGTTATAGTGTCTATGCCATTATTATAACCTGTCAATAGATTAACAGTTCATAGACAGAATTTGAATATATGCCCTATAATGGCTATATGACATCACCACTTTAATATAACAATTAGATATTCTATAGAATAAATAAGCAATATAAGAAATATACTTCATTAATGATTAGTAATTATTAATTTTTAATAGCAGATTTGCAAAGCTTGTGGAGTTTGTCTATCTATTCTATAGAACATCCTAACAATTAATTGTTTAATTTTCAAATTTTCCTGTTTAAGATAGTTTTAGTTTCTTAAAAATTATCCAATTAGAAGATAGGATTTCATGTAATTAAGCTGATATAATACAGAGGTTAAGTATAATATATTTCTTCTGTTAAGTTTATCAGAGTTTATAAAATATTGATAAAATTTAACTTCTACATCATCAACAGCATTTATATTAACATTTAATCATAGGTTATACTTATCAAAAGCAATATACTATAGACAAAAAAGATTACTATATAGATGTCTAGAAAAATAAATATTAAATTAATAATAAGAATAGAAATAATAGTAATATTAATATTATTAATAATAAAATATTTACTGAAATCTGCTATAAACATATTAAATATATTAGTTTTAAAACACAAATACTCTTTAAATATTTCTTTAACAAATGCTTTCAATTTCAAGAAGTTTCTACAGACTGGAAGTCCTCAAACATCTTTCTTATTCCAAAAAAGTCTAATTGTGATTTTATTCTCAATCAAGTTCGACCAATATCTATACTTGAACCCTTCAAAAAAACCTTTACTAAAATCTTCACCAAACATCTTAATCAAATTATTTCTACTAATTACCTCTTATCAGACTTTAATTTTGCTGCATCAAAGAATTCATCAACACATATCCCAATACAAATTCTATATAACACTATTGAATATTATATACTATACAACAAAGAAGCTTGAATTCTTTTTCAAGATATGTCTAAAGCTTTTGACAAAATTAATATATCTTGCCTTTAAAGCACTTGTAAAAGAATTAGTATCCCTCTTGCAGAAATGAATCTTATTACTGAACTACATTTCTCTAGACAAGTAAAAATCATTACAGATTATGAGTTTACATCTTCAGTTAATATTTAATCTGGAATTGAACAAGAAGAAACCTATTTTCTATTACTATAGAAAATCTATTATAATCCAATACTTATCTTTATTCATCAAAAATATTAAAACAAAATGCTTAAAATTGTATCTCAATCATGTCTTGATATTATCACTAATATCACCTTTGAAAATATTTTAATTTCACTACTAGCCTATATAGATGATACAACATGGCTCTGTGAAAATTTAGAAACTATACAAAATATTCTCAATAATATATCTGAACTATATAAAATTAACAATATAAATATAAATCTTACCAAATCTGACTTATTATATATTCATTCTAAATTATACAAATCTTTATCAACCTCTTTGCTCTTTAACAACCAAACAATTTTATCTAGAAAACCAAATGACATCATTAGATATCTAAGTATCTATTTTGATAAAAATGGTTCAACCAAATCAACATTAGTTATGATTCTTAAAAAAATTAAAATTTTTTTCTGTTTAATCAGATATAAAAAACTCACATCCTTTCAGATTTCATTGCTCTTTAATTTTGTACTTCAGCCCTCTATTGAATACCTCTTACAAATATCTATTATTCATAAAAATCTTCAAACTAAACTATCTTGACTTTTTACTATTTAAACAAAGAAAATACTATCATTCGCTAAAAATACAAATAATATTGTTCTTAGCAATCCTATAATTTTCAATCTACTAACTTT